GTTCAACAGGACGTGAAACAAACGAATATCGTCCTTGTTGACAACGCCATGGTTCGAATCACGGGGCAACAAAACATAGGAGAAGATGTATTGTTGGACGCGTTGAATTAAAGTGAGATTAATGACACTCGGGTTGCTAGAATTTCTAAACTTGAGGTCACGATGATCTAACCCGAGTTGTCGCCAAATTGCCTCATCTTGGAATGTTTCATCCAAGTTTTCGGTAATTTCACCTCGACGAAGGCCAAACAGAGAAGTCAAACCGGCACCGTCAATGAAAACGGTTTTGCCGTCAACATAGGAAATTAGAGATGGCGAGTCTCCCTTAGTGGTACGAAGATTAGCATAAAATTGACGTATAAGATTTGGACAAAAGAATTCATACGTCAAATGGATGAAACAAAGCAAACCTTGCTGAGAGAAAAGAGTCTTACTCGGGGCATAGGTTGCCGATTTGAAGAGGTCCTTGTTCACGATCTTAGGAGAGACGATCTCCTTCGTGAGGAAGATGTTGTGGAACCTCTCGGCTGAAGCCCCAGTGTTGAAGGCGAGTCCGGTTTGTATGTGGATGTATTTGCTCCCTTCACGACGCCATGGCCTCTCACCCTCTTCTACCGCCGATTCTTGACGCGATGAAGCGTTCTTGCACCTTGGCATCCTTCCTCTTTGAAATTGATGAAATTTGGTGAGAAAATGGAAGAAATTTGAGAAGTTTCTGATGAAGGTTGAGAAAATCGGAGAAGGGAAAGAGCTAGGGTTTCTGATTCGTAAAAAGAGAATGACGAAGAAGACGAAGACTGGCTGTGATATAAGGGCAAAAATCGAATATTAATCGATTAAAAACAAGTATTTAATCGATTAAGGAACACAGCCGAGGCAAATCGATTAAATTAAACTTATTAATCGATTAGAAGTGGAGCAGAACCAAACGTTTGCGTTTCAAGATATTAATCGATTAAACAAAAATGGTTAATCGATTAAGATGAACAGATGAGTCTAATCGATTAATTTAACCAAATTAATCGATTAAAAGTGAGGCAGAGAAAAAAAAAGGTTTCGGATTTTAATCGATTAAACAAAAGTCCAGTAATCGATTAAGAGGGACAGAGGCGACTAATCGATTTCTCTTCGAGGAGTAATCGATTAAAACTTATTTGACAGAAAAAATCATCAAGTCCAATTCGGTTGAATACCAAGGGAAGAGATACCTGCAATAAAAGCCCTGCAAAAAAGAATTTATCGCGCCTCCGACGCTCAAATTAGTATAGTCAATAAAAAGAATGGATTAGTTCATAGAGATATCCAAAATTCCAAGTTCGTTCCGAATGTGGAAGAAACTCTCCCTACTAAGGGGTTTCGTGAAAATGTCTGCCAATTGATGTTTCGTTTCAACAAACTCAATTGTGACATCTCCCTTTTGGACGTGATCTCGTATGAAGTGATGCCTAATTTCTATGTGTTTAGTCCTCGAGTGAAGAACG